AGGCTCATAAACGCTGGATAGCTGTGTTTTTCAGCGTTAGAGCGTTTTTTCCAGCTGAAAAACTCTTCTTCTGACACAGTTCTGGGGGTTTTTGCCAAAAAACAGATAAAAGCCAATGTGTGCAGGAACACATAGGATAACATGCCAGGGAGTTTACTGGCGGTAGAAAAAAAAAACTCCTGATGCCCGAAACAGCAGCTGTAAAAACGGCCAGTGTGCATGAAGCCTTAAAGTGACCATGTGGCCAGGTTATGAACATTTTATGTATTTCTACATTTTAAGAAGTGGTAAAACAAACCCTCACTGACCTCTGCAATAGGAGAGACAGTGGAGTTATTCATCATCAAAGAAGCACCAAAGTAATCCAAGTAATTTTTCAGCAGTTAAGCTCCCCCTCCCAGGTGTGAACTTGCAGCTCAGCTCCTTCTGCTCCCCATTTCTAGCAGTGACTCAGCTCACCCTACTCCCCCTCCCAGCAATGACTCTACACTTATATGTTGTGATGTGAACCTACCCATAGAAAGACTGTGCAGCTGATATGGCAGGAAAATGATGTTAGAATTATAAAAGTGGAAGCTGTTTGCACAATGTCTGCCAAACTCTATTTATGTGACCTTAAAATGTTACTAAACCCAGGAACCTGCATTCACTATATCCGGTCTCCCACAGCACATAGAACATGGAAATGCAATTATTTTAGTAAATACAAACTGCTACCTTCTCTCATCAGCAGTGTATAGCAGCCTTGTGACTTCTATCAGTGTCCAGCTGAGCACTGGTTAAAGCTTATAGGAGGAGTTTTCATTCTCCTCTGACTGTCGTATGAATCTGCATAACCCCTGACCCTCTGACTGGACAGTTCTGATTGGCCCTGTGCTGATCACATACACCCTCCCAAAGATAGCTCTGTACGATCAGCAGATGGATTGGGGACAGTAGAAGAAAGGGAGGATCAGAGAAGACAGGATCAAACAGCCTTTTCACACAATGCGGAGGATTAACCCCTTAGGTTCCACAGTAAGTATAACAATCGTGCTTTACTGCATTATAAGCCTGATTTTACCGTTGCATGTTTAGTAACACTTTAATTAGGCTTTAAACATATGAAAAGACTTCTAGCAGACCTTTCCCCTTTCACTAAAAATCACAGCATACAGCTCTGCATTCTGATATGAGATCATCTTACATTCATTAAACAATCATTTTTACTTTTACATACAATTAATGCTTTCCTGGTTGAGTGGAGCACTGGTGATGTAACCCTGATCTCACAGATGCATACTGGGAAGGCTACTACATCACCAATGCTCTCACCCTCAGATGATGCACACTGTCACGTGCGCACTGTCACATTTTCCAAAGGGAGAGGGATTCATCTGCCCTTAGTAAAAATGGCCACGATGAGAATGGGGAGGAAAAGAAAGATTGATTAGGCAAAGAATAAAAACTTATCTACAGTATCTGCAAGTACTGTATCTCTAGATTGCCTTTATTAACATTTCTCTTTAAATGCTTACACTTGACGGTAGGTTCGACATATGGGTGAACTAAGTAGGGTGTTTACTCATCTGCCAATCCAAACCTCAGGTTGCAGCAGCGAGAGATACATTTATCAGCAGTATTACTACCTCTGCTAAATGTGACAGATACCTGCCCAAGCTGGTTGTTAGGAAGCTTTCAGTCACTGGCTTCCTAACAACCAGCGAGGCTTAATCGCCTGGCCTAAAAAACTGTCATACTGGGGATTCCCAGCTGACAGCTGAATGTAAACAAAGGGGTGAGAATGGCTGCTGACATAACTTAACAAATATCGCCATGGCCATGTTTGTTCATGGCCATATCTGGTCCATGACATTGACCATGACTATCACATCAGCCACCATCTCTGCCCCTAAGTGTACAAGCCAGCTGTCAGCAAAGAATGCTTCATTTAACAAGGACAGACTGGACTGGAGCTGACATGTCAGCAGGTTAGTGTTTAGTTTTTTTATGGTTGGTCAATGGGCGTCATTCATCTTGATTGACATGGCTCTGCATTACTGGATTACATCATTGACGATGGATTTACATTGTGGCACTGTGGGGCATTTGTTTTTTATGGTGGTGTGTTTTTATTTATTGGTTTTGTTCATGAGCAATCATTTCATGTAGAAGGATGGCAGTATCGGGGGGGGGGGGTTTATTGAGGGATTACAGATTCCAGTTAGAGGTCTGGTATGTATTTTAGGGGTGGAGTGTCCCCATATTGTTTTGCTCATCACAATGGGGCTCAGGTAAGTATTAGGGGGGGCGGTAAAGAACTGTGCAGGAGGTTTTTTTACCTTCATGCATAGAATACATGAAGATAAAAAAAACCTCTAGCCTTTTCAACCACTTTAAGTATTATTAATATTGCTGCTCCTGCAAAAATGTTTTTTTTTTTTTTTACTGTTTGCATTAGTACAGGGCAGTTCCCAGCCCCCCATGCAATTTGTTTGACAGTTCCTTTCTTGTTAGCCTTGAACATGGCCAAAACTGATTTGCCCCTTTCACTTCGATAAGGTTTAGATCAAGGTTCAGAACTTCAGCACACTTCAGGTGCATTTGACTCTAGCCTAGTCTCCAGCATATACACTGGTAAATCAGTTATGGGTGGAGGGACCTTTCTCTCTGACACATTGCACTATTGTTTCAATCAGGCAGAAGACCTACTTATTTTTTCCCCCCCCCTTTTGCTAACTTCCTGCACTGAGAAGTCAGTGTGCTGTGTGTGACTCTCTGGGATGTGAAACAATAAGAGAGTAAATTGTTTTGTACTCAGGAAGACGCCGCGCTCACAGCTCCGGGCGGCCCTGCCGTGTGCCCTACTTTCAGTGAGGCGCTCACCCGCTCCACCGTCTTTTCTCTGATTATTGCCTCCCTGGATGCTGGGAGACATGGAAGTGTAATTAAGGGTAATTTGTAGCTGTGTGTGTGTGTCAGTGACGATTACGCTGCCCGGATGAACGCTGCTCACCGCTCTATTGTTTATAACACAGAAGCCAGAGGACAAGGATCACTATGTATCTTAGTTTAAATACAGGAAACAATAAACAGTCAACATTGTCTCAGGAACTGTCAGAGAATATGAAAACCACACAATATATATGTTATCCGATTACATTATTAGGAGAAATTACATCAGTATCAATAATACTAGTAGTAGCAGTTATAGAAGTATTATTATTATTATTATTTGTATAGTACTAGCACTGTAGAATTACTTATGGTAGCAGGATTTCTAAAATGAATATTAGTAGTAGTAGTAGCAGCAGCACTAGCAATAGTAGCAGTAATAGAATCCCACTGTCATAATACACTGATCAGCGCTGCAGTCAACTGGCTGCAGCACTGATTGAACAAGCATTTTCGAACACTCCCAGGCAAGAGAAACTGCTCATTAGATTGACTTCTTGCTAACAGTAACAACTAGAGATGAGCGAATCGAGCTTGGCGAAGTGGAATTCGTTTCGAATATTAGGAAAAATTCAATTCGCACCGAATCCGAATTTTAGCAAACTTCGGATGCACGAATCGAATTTTCGCCGATCAGCCGGCAAAAAGTGTCACTGCAGAGAGCTCCGCTATTTCTGACAGTTCTCTGACAGTTCTGACAGTTCATTTACAGCGGTTGAAACATTGTATCTATTTGTTTCCATTTAGGATACAGATGTTTTTATTCGGAAACAAATAGATACAATGTTTCAACCGCTGTAAATGTGAAGGAACTGTCAGAGAACTGTCAGAAATAGCGGAGCTCTCTGCAGATACACTTTTTGCTGTACTGGAATTATTCTTCTTTTCATTCTTCTTCTTCTTTTCATTCTTCTTCTTCTTCTTCTTCTTTTCATTCTTCTTCTTCTTTTCATTCTTCTTCTTCTTTTTTCATTCTTCTTCTTCTTCTTTTCATTCTTCTTCTCATTCTTCTTTTCATTCTTCTTCTTCTTCTTTTCATTCTTCTTTTCATTCTTCTTTTCATTCTTCTTTTCATTCTTCTTTTCATTCTTCTTCTTCTTCTTCTTCATTCTTCTTTTCATTCTTCTTTTCATTCTTCTTCTTCTTCTTTTCATTCTTCTTCTTCTTCTTCTTCATTCTTCTTCTTCTTCTTTTCATTCTTCTTTTCATTCTTCTTCTTCTTCTTTTCATTCTTCTTTTCATTCTTCTTTTCATTCTTCTTTTCATTCTTCTTTTCATTCTTCTTCTTCTTCTTTTCATTCTTCTTTTTATTCTTCTTCTTCGTCGTGCCCCATGACTGCCCAAATGAGTGAAGTGTGAGGTGATTCTAAGATCGACGGCACTCATCTGCATGTCATACTGACTGACAGTATTATTTCTCTTCCCCAGCAGACTCCAAGGGCATTTAAATTAAAGGTACAGTGTTCTGCACTAATATAAAGGCTCTCTGAAGCCTAGAAACCCTTTTAATAAGTTAAATTTGCAGCGAATAAATTCACATCGAATCGAATTTCTCCCGCAAATTCGGCGAATCAGCCGAATCGAATTTTTGAATAATTCGCTCATCTCTAGTAACAACCATAGATGGAACGAAATTTGTCCAGTTCAGCAGGGAATTCAGAAATCAGTTCAGCAGGCCAGCTTGAAAAGTGGTAATAGTTGAAGTAGTCGTAGTACTGATAATAGCTGTATTAGAAGTTGTAATAAGCGCTCACATTAGAAAGTCAAGAGATATAGAAGTACTATCACTATTATTTCTTATTATCATTATTGTAAGTACTATCTTATAGTGTTAGATGTAGTAGATACAATATATTGTTATTTGAAGAAGCAATAGTAATAATAAATAATAATAATAGAAGATAGCAGTAGTAATAGCAGCTTTTAGTATTATAAGTAGTACAAGTAGAACTAGTTGTAGTAGTAGTAGATATATTCTTAGCAATAATAGTAGTAGAAGAAGTAGATACACTATATTGCCAAAGGTATTGGGACACCCCTCCAAATCATTGGGTTCAATCACCTCCATGGCCACAGGTGTATAAAATCAAGCCCCTAGGCATGCAGACTGCTTCTACAAACATTTGTGAAAGAATGGGTCACTCTCAGGAGCTCAGTGAATTCAAGCGTGGTACTGTGATAGGTTGTCACCTGTGCAATAAGTCCATCCGTGACATTTCCTTGCTACTAAATATTCCACTGTCAACTGTTAGTGGTATTATAACAAAGTGGAAGCAACTGGGAACAACAGCAACTCAGCCACGAAGTGGTAGGCCATGTAAAATGACAGAGCGGGGTTTGCGCATGCTGAAGCATACAGTGAGCAGAAGTCAACAACTGACTGCAAAGTCAATAGCTAAAGACCTCCAAACTTCATTTGTGAAGGCCATTTTTTGCAATACGGTGCTGTGTAAATTTAACTGACAATTGCGCGGTCATGCAACTCTGCACCTAAATGAAATTTATGTTTTTTTTTACCACAAATAGAGCTTTCTTTAGATGGTATTTGATCGCCTATGGGATTTTTATTCTTATTCTTATAAACAAAATAAGACCAACAATTTTGAGGGAAAAAAACAATATTTTTGACTTTTTGCTATTAAACATGTCCATTAAAAAAATTTTAAAAATCACATTTTGTCATAAATTTAGGCCAAAATGTATTTTGCTACATGTCTTTGCTAAAAAAAAAAAAATCTCAATACCTGTAAATTAACTGGTTTACGTGAAAGTTATAGCCTTTACAAATGTCGGTATAGATACTAGAATTTTTTATTTTAGCAGCTTAGCACAACAGTGCGTAGAGCTTCATGGAATGGATGTCCATGGCCGAGCAGCTGCATCCATGCCTTACATCACCAAGTGCAATGCAAAGCACTGGATGCAGTGGTGTAAAGCATGCTACCACTGGACTCTAGAGCAGTGGAGACGTGTTCTCTGGAGTGATGAATCACGCTTCTCTGTCTGGCAATCTGATGGATGTGTCTGGGTTTGGCGGTTGCCAGGAGAATGATACTTGCCTGACTGCATTGTGCCAAGTGTAAAGTTTGGTGGAGGGGGGATTATGGTGTGGGGTTGTTTTTTAGGGGTTGGGCTTGGCCCCTTAGTTCCAGTGAAGGGAACACTTAAGGTGTCAGCATACCATAACATTTTGGACAATTTCATGCTCCCAACTTTGTGGGAACAGTTTGGGGATGGCCCCTTTCTGTTCCAACATGACTGCATACCAGTGCACAAAGCAAGGTCCATAAAGACATGGATGAGCAAGTTTGGGGTGGAGGAACTTGACTGGCCTGCACAGAGTCCTGACTGCAACCCAATAGAACACCTTTGGGATGAATTAGAGCAGAGACTGTGAGCCAGGCCTTCTCGTCTGACCTCAGTGCATGACCTCAAAAATGCAGTTCTAGAAGAATGGTCAAACATTCCCATAGACACGCTCCTAAACCTTGTGGACAGCCTTCCCAGAAGAGTTGAAACTATTATAGCTGCCAAGGGTGGGCCAACTCAACATTGAACCCTACAGACCAAGACTGGGATGCCATTAAAGTTCATGTGTGTGTAAAGGCAGGCCAACCAATACCTTTGGCAATATAATGTATATTGTTATTGTCAGCAGTAGTAAAATTAGGAGTAGTAAAAATATTAGAAGCAAAAGATATATTGTTATTAGTAACAGTAGTATGTACAGTATATTAACCATCATCATTAATAGTAGTTTTATTTATTTCAGGTACTTATATAGTGCTGTCAATTTACGCAGCACTTTACACAAATATATTGTACATTCACATCAATCCCTAACCCTCAAGGGGTGTACAATCTAAGGTCCCTAACTTACATTCATACACATATTAGGGCCAATTTAGACAGGATCCAGTTAACCTAACAGCATGTCTTTGGAGTGTGGGAGGAAACCGGAGGAAACCCACGCAGGCACAGGGAGAACATGCAAACTCCAGGCAGGTGGTGCCATGGCTGGGATTCAGGCCAACGACCCTAGTACTGCCAGGCGGAAGTGCTAACCATTTAGCCACTGTGCTGCCCAGTAGTTGTAATTATTATTATTAGTAGTAGTAGTGGTAGATAAATTGTTAATAGTAACAGTAGAAGAATAAGATATATTATTATTAGTGGTTGTAGTAGTAACATTAGAAGTAGTAGAAATAAAAGATATATTGCTTTTAGTAGCAGTAGCATGTAGATACAGTATATTACATGCTACAGTATATATTACAGTAGATATATTATTATTATTATTATTAGGAGTAGTAGCTGTAGCATGTAGATATATTATCATTATTATTATTATTAGCAGTAGTAGCTGTAGCATGTACATTTATTATTATTATTATTATTATTAGTAGTAGTAGTAGCTATAGCATGTAGATATATTATCATTATTATTAGGAGTAGTATCTGTAGCATGTACATATATTATTATTATTATTAGTAGTAGCTGTAGCATGTAGATATATTATCATTATTATTAGGAGTAGTAGCTGTAGCATGTACATATTATTATTATTATTATTATTAGTAGTAGTAGTAGTAGTAGTAGCTATAGCATGTAAATAGTTATAATAATATTATTATTATTATATACAGAATTTATATAGCGCCAAAGGGTTTGCTCAGCGCTGTACAATAGCGAGGGGGACAGAACATGAGACAATACAGTAACAATACAATACACGAGGGGTTCGAGGGCCCTGCTCTTTCGAGCTTACAATCTAGGAGGGAGGGGATAGTGGTACAGGAGGAAGTGGCTGTGGGGGATGGAGTGGTGGGAGGAGTGGAGGAGATCGGTTGTTAGGTGAGGGTGGAGTAGGCTTCCCTGAAGAGATGGGTTTTCAGGGTGCGCCTGAAGGTGAGGAGGGTAGGTGACAGTCTGATGGATTGGGGTAGGGAGTTCCAGAGGATGGGGGAAGTCCTGGAGAAGTCCTGCAGTCAGGCGTGTGGAGGAGGAGACCAGGGAGCTAGAGAGTAGGAGGTCCTGTGAGCAGCGAAGGGCACAGGTAGGGTGGTATTTGGGTATCAGGTCAGTTAGGTAGTTTGGGGCGGCGTTGTGAATGGCTTTGTAGGTCAGAGTTAGTCATTTGAATTTGATGCGCTGGGCAATCGGGAGCCAGTGAAGGGATTGGCAGAGGGGGGGTGGCAGATGTGGAGCGGTTGGTGAGGTGGATGAGTCTCGCCGCTGAATTCAGGATAGACTGGAGTGGGGATAGCATTTGCTTGGGTAGGCCAGTGAGAAGGGAGTTGCAGTAGTCCAGGCGTGAGATGATGAGGGAGTGTATGAGTTGTTTAGTAGTGTCTGGGGTGAGGAACATACGTATCTTGGAGATGTTGCCTGCATGACTTTGATAGTGATTGGACATGAGTTGGAAGGAAAGGTTTAAGTCCAGGGTGACACCCAGGACTTTGGCGTGTGGGGTTGGATTGATGGTGGCGTTGCTAGTTGTGATGGAGAGGATGGGGGGGGGCGCGGGCTGAGGGGAAAACCAGGAGCTCGGTTTTTTACAGGTTTAGCTTGAGGAAATGGAGCGACATCCAGTCTGATATGTCGTTCAGGAGGTGGGCGATGCGAGCGGAGAGTGAGGGGGTGAGTTGAGGGGTGGAGAGGTAAATTTGTCAGCATAGAGGTGATAGTTGAAGCCGTGGGAGTGTATCAGTTTGCCAAGGGAGGAGGTGTAGATGGCGAAAAGGAGGGGTCCGAGGACAGAGCCTTGAGGGACTCCAACAGAGAGGGGGAGAGAGGGGGAGGTGGCAGTGTTATAGGTAACATTGAAGGAGCGTTGGGATAGATAGGAGGAGAGCCAGGAGAGAGCAGCGTCCCTGATGCCAAGGGAGTGCAGTTTAGTAAGGAGGAGAGGGTGGTCGACTGTATCGAAGGCCGCGGAGAGGTCAAGGAGCAGGAGGACTGAGTAGTGGCTATTTGCTTTGGAGGTTAGCAGGTCGTTAGTGATTTTAAGTAGGGCGGTTTCGGTGGAGTGTAGGGGACGGAAGCCAGACTGTAGTGGATCAAGGAGGTTGTTATCAGTGAGGTGGGCGCTGAGGCGATTGTAGGCTAAGCGCTCAAGGAGCTTGGAAGTGAATGGTAGCAGGGAGATGGGTCTAAGGGTGTTTAGGTCAGTGGGGTCAAGGGAGGGTTTTTTGAGTGTGGGAGTGATGTGTGCGTGCTTTAGGGGGGAGGGGAATGTGCCAGTAGAGAGGGAGAGATTGAAGATGTGGGTGAGGGAGCGAAGGATGGAGGAGGGGGGTGACTGGAGGAGTTGCAAGGGGATAGGGTCCAGGGGGCAAGTGGTGAGGCGGGCTTCAGTGAAGACCTTAGTGACCTCCTCAGTGGTAGCAGGGCTGAAGGAGCGGAGCGTTGGGGAGGTGATAGTGCGCGGGGCGTTAGGTATGGTGGGGGGCAGTGCGGTTATGAGGTCAGAGGGGAGAGTTGAGGGGGTGATGGAGGGGGAGGAGGGCTAGGTGGAGAGGTAGATTGCGAGTTGACAATGTCCTTACGGATTGTGTCAATCTTGTTTTGGAAATGATTGGCAATCTCGTGGGTGGTGAGTGAGGTACTGAGTGGAGGTGGGGGAGGGGAGAGCAGGGATTTGAAAGTGGAGAAGAGCCGGCAAGGACAGGTGGAGAAGGTGTTGATGAGGGTTATGAAATAGGCTTGCTTGGCGGCGTGCTTGGATGTGGTGTAGGTGAGGAAAGCCGATTTGTAGAGGGAGAACGCTCGAGGGGATCTGGTTTTGCACCATAATTGCTCAAGCGCGCGACTTTTGAGACATTTGTATGGTCGTTCTGCCAGGGTTGAAGCGGTCAGGGTCTGATGTTACGCGTGGTTAGGGGTGCCAGGGAGTCGAGGGCGGCCGACAGTGAGTCGCTGTACGCAGCAGTGGCCAGGTCAGGGCATGACAGTGGAAGGATACTGTCGTACAGACAGTCAGCTGTCGGGTGGAGATGGGCCAGGTTCAGGTTGCGGAGGTTACGGCTGGTGATGGTTTGACGCTTTGGGGGGGGGAGTTAAAGAAGGGGGAGATGGAAAACGTGAGGAGGTGGTGGTCAGAGAGGGGGAAGGGGGTGTTAGTGAAGTTGTGGAGGGTGCAGAGGTGGGAGAAAACAAGGTCCAGGGTGTTTCCATTGGTGTGGGTGGAGGACTGTGTGTGCTGTGTGAGCGCGTAAGAGGAGGTTAGGAAGAGTTGGAAAGTAGCCGGGTTGTTGATGGGGACGTTGAAATCCCTGAGGATGATGGTCGGTAGCTCAGAGGAAAGGAAGAAGGGTAGCCAGGCGGCAAAGTCGCCCAGGAAGAGGGATACGGATCCAGGAGGCCGATAGATTACTGCAATCCTCAGGGGGGTGGGAGAGAAGAGCCGGATGCAGTGGGCTTCAAAGGAGGAGAAGGATAGGGAGGGGGGGTTAGGGAGGACCTGGAAGGTGCTCAGCAGAGGCAGGAGCATGCCGACCCCACCCGCCTCTGCGACCACTCGGCCTGGGTGAGTGGGTCCAGACGAGGCCTCCATGGGTGAGTGCCGCAGGAGAGGTGGAGTCAGTGGCTTGGATCCAGGTTTCGGTGACCGCTAGGAGGTTGAGGGAGTGGGAGACAAAGAGGTCATGGATGGCGGTGAGCTTGTTGCAAACTGAACAGGCGTTCAGGAGTGCAACCGAGAGAAGAGGGGGTGGATGCAAGGAGGAGGGGGACAGGTATAAGGTTGAGGGGTTGTGGCGGCTGGTGGGAGCAGGGGGGTGCCGAGAGGGGGAGTGGGGAAGTGGGGGGCCAGGGTTCAGGGAGATGTCCCCAGTGGTTAGGAGAAGGAGAAGTGTGAGGAAGGTGGCATGGGAACGGAATGTGC